TCCCAGTTTTACACAGGGAGAGTTGACTTTTGAAGGAAGCTGGGTGTCACTCAACTGCAAGGAAGTGACAAAGGTTTTATTGCTGTGAAGATTCTCAAGTACCTTTATGGTTACATACTGAGCTAGCTGAAAGTTTATGCGGCGTTTTTTTTGTTGAAAAGAAAGTGCCATTTAAATTCATGTCGCATGGTACATTAAATTAAGACATTTTTCTTTAGGACGGTGTAGTATAGCAACTTCTTTATTATAAAATAGGTATAATAAATGCTTTGCATCTATGCCCAATAAATGTATTTTATGGAATTTTGGCAATGAGAATATTTGGGAGAGGAGTACCTATAATATCAAGAAATTACAGACGATTTTGATGTTGCATCGAGACGACAAAAGTAATATAATTTATTATGAGTCCATCATATGCTACTTAGCCAGCTAAACTTTACAATAATTAACTTGATTCAATTCCCTTTTTAAACTAAAAATTCACAAATGATCTCTCAGATTTTCAGCAATTATTAATGTTTTTAAATGGACCAGTTTCTACCTTCTAACTAAATTTATAGATATCGAAATGTAGTTGTAATGGAAAATTTCTTTTACAAAACAAACCAAACAAATGCAAAATGAAGGTTTTTAATTTACGGTTTAAAGCTCACACTTTCACTAATCAAAATCCTTAAAGGAAACGATCTTTATTGAATATAAACATACACATTTTCTTCAACGTCTCAAAACCATCCTCGAGTAGTCCAACCTTGGAAAAAATTTGATTCTCTTCTAATCCCGGCTCCATTTTTTATTTTTGACCTACAAAGTACATTAAAAATAAAAAGACCCGTGTGTCCTCAATTTTTATTTGCGAGTAAAATAAACCCAAAATAAATTATTGAAAAGCCGTGTTCTTAGTGCGAATCTGAAACGCTTCAGATTAAATACGTCACAAACCTACAACCAATCACGTAGAAGTGAGCCGGCAACCTTGTGCGAGGGTCTGACGTTTGTCGGATTTGACGTTTTACAAATGACATTCTCCTGCAATATTGCCAATTCGTTATGTCATCTGAATGGTTCTATGAGGTGATTGGTCGGGCTTATTACGTCACAGAGCCCGCCACAATCATATCGTTTTGAATAAACCCTTAAAACCGCACTTGTTCATTATTTTTTTGCTAATCAGCATCTATTTTTAAATAAACTTTTACTGTCCAAAAAATGCTTTATGGTTTCAGGTTCACGCTTATTAAATTAGAACTGCGGAATTCAACTATACTGTAAACCCCCATTATGATTCGATGGAATGGAAATTCGTTTATTCAAGTTACACCCTGGCTTTTTTACCAGGTAACTGGAGCTGGTTTTAAATTATCTCGTTAGATTTTAGTTTGAATTGTGCAATATTGTTTTTAAAACAATCACGGACTAACCATACGGTTTCAGTATACGATCTACTAATAGTGCGATTTAATTTATCTTCTGGAACTTTAGCTTTCAAAATTCAAACCTATTTATTGAATGATTGTACCTGCCACTCTAAACTGGAGTCTAAAGATCAGTTATTTTGATGTGATTTCTACGACGGCTCAAAACCAATTCCTCTTCTTCCTTCGTGCGTGGTAGTCCATTACACATTTGCAAAGAACCTGATGTGATTCAGTTGTACTGTAACTTATTTATCATCAATCATAGCTTATCATGTATTAAAATCGGCGACTGAATTTTATCCGGCTATTAAAACAAATTCCATAACTCACCTTGCCTGCGACTGATAGAAAAAGCTTTTTGAAAATATCGTATTAAATGAAATTTAAAACAACCAAATCTTGGAATCCCAGCCGCCTAAGGAAGCCATGGTGCTTAACACTGAGACACCTCAACAAAATTCAACTCTCAACCTCAACCATACAAAAATTCAAAACAAATCAATCTCATTCAAGGGCTCCCGTTACATCAAGCACTGCATTTTGCCCTCAATGAAAAGAAGTGTTCAATGTTTGCAAAACATTGCGGTAATGAATATTTTAGAATTCTTTCAATGCAGATTCATTGCGATTTTTAGTGGCAACGACTGTACCTGTTAACTAACTTAAAACTTGAATCTCTTTTTCAATAAACAAGTAAAACGGTTTTCACCCTAAGGCGAGTAACTTCAGCGCATTTTTCATGAATGACCAGTACTTCCCAAAAGGCCATAGCTACGTGCGCTGTGATTTTATTTACTAGAGGCATATATCGTTGGAAAATGCGCTAAAAAATGAGTTCAAAATTAGTTTTTAAAAATCTTGAAGTAAACCTGACTGTAATTTTTATCGTAACGATTTCGCCTCGTGTAAAAGTGGTTGCGCATGCGTAAATCGAATGTAGGTAGTTCAGTATGACACATGTAAAGGAGGAAGTTATTTTTGTGATACGTGTTTTGCGTGCCGGAATAATATGAAATATTTCAAATTTTTTATTGCCGGGTCAAAAATTGCTGTGATTTTTTTAATTTTTCAAAAACCAAATACTATCCTATGTTTTCATGTTTAAAGATCTCCATATATCAAATTTTATGGTTTTATAATTGTATATAAACCAGATACTGACTAGGAATAAATTAGTCTTCAATTTGGTAGAAGTGACGGTCCACCGCCTTACATTCTACCCTAAATCTGCTCGATCTCATACCGAACTAAAGGTTGTTTTTCACTTGCTCATCATTTTGGTAAATTAAATTAAAAATTAAATTAAATTAAAATTGAGGTTGGTGACATTTGTTAGTTTCCGCCACGGAGAATGATAATCTTGTACTGTTGCAGAAGAATATATAGAAAAACGACAAATCGAAAACCGATATGCTTTGATCTCAACTCCAAACAAGCATTTCGCCTTTCAATTCCAGCGTCGACTCAGTACCTACAATATGCATTCACCAGGCAACCAGATACAACAAAATTTTGTAGGTCAGAACTTACGAGGAATAAAGATAAAACACTCAGGATACCTCGAGAAAAGTGCATAACAATTTCTTAAAGATAAAATTTATATAAAGCCTCCATAATATTTGTATCTGTTTAATATTATGAAAGCAAATTTTTGTCCACTGTATATAACATTCGTGTAAGGACTTGGTTAGGAGGAGTTAGTCGAGTTTTCCGGTTTTTTGTTAAGTTTCATATTAAACAACGGAATTCTTCTAACTGAGTCAGGTACGAGTATATTACCAATTTTAAATAGTTGTGTAAAGTGAAAACCACCGTTCCATTTTAGTGTTAAAATTTTGTCATGTAGGGGATTGTTGAAGTTAGCAATAGAGAACGTGCCCACGTAGTTCTTCTCTGGTAAAAATATATTGAGGTTTTTTCATTGCAATAAAGAAAATCTTGTAAATGGACAGATATTACACGCATGCAATGAACAAAGTTGTAGCTAATCAATTACCTGCATTTATTTTCATTTTATGGATGGGGTACTATTCTTTCAACCCTTAGATTTGACGGTAGGTGGAGACATCTAATTGAGTCTATTTGTAATGAACCCTTTACAAATTGCACTATAAGTAATTGTCTCTACAAGTATATTGTAAATAAAATAAAGGGGTACCTACTATGTAGAAAGGTATAAATTGCGAATACTTTGACGTTACATATTCAACATTTCGAATTAAATTATTTATTTAAAGGCTTGTAAAAAGTTTGCCAACCCATCGCTACAGATCACCCAACACTTTTCAACACTGACACAAAGTATTAATGGAATTAACCTTTCAGTCAAGAGGAAGACTACTGATTAAATTATTTCAATATTCGATGTATTAGACAGGTTGCACGAAAAGTTCTGACCAACGTGTCACTCGGGACATTCAAACATTGTTCTTCCATTTTTCGGATCTAAAATAACCAACAGTCAGTTGTCCTACTAATGGATTTTCCCCCTTCTTTTTAGGTTACACTTTATATGGTAGCATTACGATTACACGGTATTGATATTACATTCACGATCGAAAAGTGCATTTTTTTGTCAAATTACCGACTCTCTAAATTATTAAGCGTTTAGGTACCTAAAATCCGTTAAGCGTAACGTATTTTTACACAATAATTGAGGTAGATGCAGATAGTCACATCGATATTTTCAGTGTGACTTAATGATTATAATACCGATAATACTGATTTTACTTTGCTGCTTATCGAAGGTAGGTATTCCAAATTAACGGCGCCTACTATTTAATTATCCATAACAAAAGAAATTGCGTGATTTATAAAATTGGAGGATTACAGTTAATGGTTTCCATCATAGGTGAGGTGAGGCTTATTGAAATTAATCTTTTAATTAAACTACTAATTATTAGTATTGCAAGTGACATTCAGGTTATAAAGTTTTAAATTAAGTGAAGGTTTAAAATATAATAAAAAATTCTCACTTCGAAATTTGGTGCACTTCCTCTCATACCCTCATTTTGATTAAGTTGGTAGAGCAAAATCTTCATTTATTATTAATTTCGTCGCGGAAACTGTAAAATACATCGGTTTCATGCATTAGAACTAACTTACGAGTATGTGCCCTTTCCGTTTTGGTGCATTTTTTGGGAACCTCGTTGAAAGCGCAACAAAAAACGCCACCGCAATAGACAGAGGCAAGATTGTAGCGAATATTCCAGAATGCGCCATGAAAGATTAGTGATCGGAGATAAAGAACGAAGGCGCATGTGACGCAATCTTGTCGGAAAATATGACGTGTTTGTTCGAGAATATTCGGGAGCGTTCGGGATCTTTTGAGTAAGAACAAAAGCACAAACACAAGCTCATGACATGCAAACAACAATAAAAGTAGGTTATGCATTACAGGTTGTAGTAATTCATGGAAACCTTCCTTTTGTTCCAAACAAAAACCCGTGAAGATGTACGCATTTTTTTAATTCGTATAATAAACAATCGTAAGGAGATATACGGAGGTGCTTTCGCAGACCAGACGTTTGACGAAATTTGTTTTGCATCAATTAATCAAGTAGCTATGAATACGGAAACATTCCACTTCAAAATGTGACAGATTCAAAATGCTATCGTCAAGAGGTGTACAACTAGTGAGAAGTTCAAAACTTTTAAAGAATTACCAAAAAATATCCTGCACCAGTGTTCGCAATTCGGGAGGAGAGTGCGTCGCCCATTTTCTTAAACATTTAACCTTAATTCTCATTTAAGGTGGATTTATCGTCGCCCTCCGCCCAGACAGCCCGAGATATTATATAAGCTGGGCGAATTTGTGTCGGCGGTGTCATGGTGGTGGATACTGTGGCATCTGTGGACCGAACCTGGTCATGTCATTGTGAGTAATTTCTCAAACGTGAAGATTTTAGTGTAGAGAACGATTTTTAGGGTGAATTTCACTATCCAAATCCTCGCCTATGGACTAATGAGGAATTGGGTATTTCAGGATTTTGTCAATGCAATTAATTTCAGGTACTTTGACGAGGTTAAGATTTGATGCAATTCATGATAATAAACTTGCTTGATTGGTAGTGAAACCAAAAGGGCCCAGTTAACTTACGTGTTTAATTGCGAAGGTTACTTTACAACAGGGTTTTACACCCACAGCAGAACACCATGCAATTTTTGGCTATTACAAAATTCTATTTATTTGGCCAACAAATATAGTAGGGGAGCTAGCTCGAAATCCACTGAACGAGAGTGATAAAATTCCACTTTGGCCTATCCGGGTATGCTAAATCGATCGTCTGCCGCCTCAGGTCATATGACGGATGCGGTACTTCTTGGCGATACCAATTTTCAATGGTTGTTTTTGAGAAAATAAGTTATACACCAAATGAAAACGTTTATATAATAGCTCTTAAAAAAATATTTAAAAAATCGGTACCTAAAAGAGATCTGATATAACCGAAAGCTCCCTCGCTCCCACGAAGCGGATTCATACGGTTTCTATTCGGGTCCAAACTACACATTGGTCGTTAACACATATACGGTTTAGTTTCGGTTCGGTTACGTTTTTGGCAAGTAATGCACTGGAAACCAATCTCACACTGTACAGTGTACACATTGATTAATAATGTTAACGCAGAAGGTTGTGGCCATATCTAACAAGTAGTTACTACAAAATAAGAACAAAATATATCAATGCAAATCAAGGATTTATTATTATTACAGTGCACACACACACAAATCACACGCACCTACAACTGAGGTAACTGAGCAAAGGCACTAACGACAAACGCAATGGCGATCTCAACAAACGAGTAGTATGAGGTCGCTGTTGGTGTAGTTGTCACCCTCTGTCACCCATATTTATATCTTAGATGTATAAGAAGTAAGGTCAGATTCATTGCATATCCATAGGATATACCTGATAACAGCCATAACACATTCTTTAGATTATTTTTCACATTTAACAGTCGACCAATGAAAACGCCGTATTCAAAGCTACTGGAGAGAATTATTTCGGATATTTTTCGGATATACCCCTGCTTGTTGCTAGGCAGTGAAAATATTTTTGAAACAAATAGCAACCCATGTCTATAAAGACATTTGTTTAACAACGCTTAGTAATCGTAATTTTGACATTTGTAAGTTAATACAAGTTTAGTGCAACATTTTCTCTAAAATGAGTCGTTTCGGTGTAGAATCGCTACAAAATATACAAGAAAAAACTAAGGAAAATGTGCCGTTAAACACCATTAAAACGAAAAACATGGTTTGGAAACAGTTTTCTTCCTTTTGCGCCGACAGGAATTATGAATTAATGGAAACCACTTCAAATGAACAACTTGCTGACACAGATTGGGCTTTCAACATGCGAAAATCGAACGGAGAAAATTATAAAGAAAATGTGGTGAAAACTATGTGGAACCAGACTGCAAAAATGATACAAGACAAGTACTTCAACGAATTCAACAGAGAGAGCTATGATGAACGTCTGGAACGAAAATACACCAGAGGGATTGCAACGAAAATTATTTATTATCATTTCCGTGGAATTGGCTTGGAGGGGTAATGAAGGACTAACGACACTCGTGCATCACTTTAAGGAGGAATTGGGAAACGATGGTATTTATACTGGTAGAATTGAATACAATCCTGTGTTCACAAAGACAACACAAGGTGGAGAACGGAAGTGCGCAAATAGTAAGTGGCTAATTGCAAATGAAGAGGCTCTCGATTACTGTCCGGTAAGGTTGTTAAAGAAGTTATTGTCTTTTTGAGGTAAAAATATAAAGACGGACCGTTTATTTTTAACTGTAAACCCCAATTGGAGAGATTTGCAAGGTGTTGGCTGGTACAAAGACGTTCCTGTAGGAAAAAATGTTATGGGAAAATGGATGAACGATTCTGCAAAACGCGCTGGGCTTAACACTACCGACAAGAAAATAACGAACCACTCGAGCAGGGCCACTGCTGTATCCACACTTGCAAAATCTGGAGTTGAAGAGCAGCAAATTATTAAAATCACCGGGCACTCCAATGCCAATTCAATAAAACCATACTTGCAGCTAGATAAGTAGCACCATGAACAAATATTAAAGAAAATGCGGCAAGATCCTACATCTACAGTTGAAATGAATTCGGCTACCTCCACAAGCTATAATGCCCCTAAAACAAACAATAATGTCTACAACAACTCTACCTTCAATTGTACTAATCTTTACTTAAATTAATTGTATGCAATCTGCAGTTTTGTAATTGTGTAATGTAAATAACTTAATGATTATTGGTGATAAATTATTAAATTTCAAATAAAAAATCTTGCAACTAAGACAAGAATTGGTGAAGTGGTTTACTTTCCAAATTTGAAAAATAATCTAGCCAAATACCCCTCGAGCATCAAAATTAATCGAATATTTCCCTTAAGTTTGGCTGCATTGCAACGGGCGGTGTCAAATTTTGGGCTCGGGATTTTTGTTCTGCCAAATTTGTCACCACACCGTTGCTATGCAACCAAACTTTCGGGAAATATTCGATAATTTTGAAGCTCTCGGGTATTACTACTGACAATTCAATGCGATTATTCAATGACACTTGTCAAACTTCCACCACTGAAATGACGCGAAATTTTGTCGTATTAACCGGAACATTCTTCTTAGTTTGTTAATCAATTTCGACAACCGTCTTATCACCACATCTTTTAATTTAATCACTCATAACGAATTAGCTTGGAGCACAAAAGTTCGAATAGAATCAATAGCAAAATGAAAAGCAACTTCCATAATTTATTTTGACGTTTATTGTTGTCATGGAAATACATTCGCGTGGGTAATTATGCTTAATTTTTCTTTTGATTCATTGAATAGTCCTCCGAATACCATTCGTAGTCGAAGTATTTGTAGATTATTTTTGAGCTGCTGCTCCACTCATGCTAGTTACGCTTTTTAATACCACTCGCGCAAGCGCTCGTGGTATTAATCAGCGTAACTAGCATTCGTGACAGCACCTCAAAAATATTCGACAATACTTCGACTACTTATGGTATTATATATGATAATATCCCCCGCCTACTCAGAGAAGACACCTGAAAAGAATATTTAAGCCGTATATAGGTACTTAGTACATTCCATGTATACTCATAGCACATGCAACCTATGAATCTTAACACATCTGGCTTTTTAAATCATTGAGTGTTCTGTATAGTTTTGTACATTTGCACCCCTTTTGCATCTTTTGTATCTTTTGTATCATTTGTATCTTTTGCATCTTTTGTATCTTTTTTATCTTTTGTATCTCCTTTTATCTTTTGTAACTTGCCAAATTAAACTTTAGAAAATGGGGGGGGGGGTAAACACATGTTCTACCCTTCATAATGAAAGGTCTCATCGAAATAAATTGCCCTTCTTTTTGTCCTCTTATCAAAGTACGGGGTGGAGAGGAAAGGGGGGGGGGGGGGGAGAGGAACAAGTTTTCTCCTTCATGGTAATCTAATGAAATGTCTCAACGAAAGGAATTAATTTATACTAACCATAGTCTTCCTCCTCGATCCCTTGTCGTGATCGGTTATAATTCCTTATATCTTAAGAGTGAATTGTCAAAGGAAAGTACCTAAAAAGGGCGATTGGGACGTTTGGAAGAAATATAGCCATTGGGCATTTAAATAAAATTTGATACAAATAGCCACTTGCAATAAAACCAAATTTAACGCCAGTTTCAAAATTTCGTTTTGCGCCTGCGCAGTGCCAACTCTCTTATTTATGGAAGGATTTAAATGAAATTTGATACATAGCCACTTGGAATAAAAGCAAATGTAGCGCCATTTTCTAAATTTAGTTTTGTGTAGGATGTGCAGTGCCAACTTTCTTATTTATGGAAGAAATTTCGAAGGGGTGTTTAAAAAAAAATGTGCTTTACCTGCACAAGGGTTGTGCACAATTTGTACTTGTTCAATTCGTGGGTACCTTAACTTTGCATACTGTGTTCTGAATCTGAGCCTTGCTTCCTGACTTTGATCCTTAACTTCTTAACTTTGAGTCTAGGGTCTTTTTTACCGTTAGTAAAGATATGAAGGATGAGAATCTTTTAAAAACTAATTTTTTTCCTTGATTAAGTATTATGTTGTGTTTTTGAAAAACATATACCCTCATCTCATCCTCAAGAACCTTTAATATTTCTCTGTTCTTTGTTAAGGTGACTTGTTTTGGACGGGAGTAAAATAATCTCATGCGTAAAACTCGGCAGCCGAAGGCGAGCTCGATTCGCTCGCCTGGCTCACAATATAGTACATTATACATCAAGGGAGAGAAATGCATTATTTTTCCCGCGGTGCGATTTGTAGCCAGAGGGCGAAGCGAAGCGGAGCCCGAGGGCTACAAAGCACCAAGGGAAAATGGCATTTCGCTCCAGAGGTGTATATACTATTTTTTGCATTCGCGTCGACGTTTACCTATACTCTTTAAATGAATTGATGGTTCTTTGAAGATTATAACCACATATTAATCAGGTTAGTGGAGAATTAAGTATAACCGTGGCAACCAATAAATTAAAATTTAATCATGTTAGTCGAGAATTCAGATAAACCATGGCAACAGATAAACAAACAATGTTTGCTGTTGAAAAAGTGCGTGAATTAAAATGGAAGTTGCGGGTTGTTCTGAAGAACCTTATGAAATTACAAACGCCGCTAACGCTGCTGTCGTGAATTTACTACCTGATAAGTCGAAAAAGTTGTATGAAGCAGCATATAAAGGTTTTAAAGACTGGTGCATAGAAAAAGATGTCGCGACCGTCACCGACAATGTTATGTTGGTTTACTTTAGCGAAAAAGCCAAAAAGTACAAATGTTCAACGGTATGGGCACAATATTCCATGGTGAGGTCTTGTATGCTCATTTACGACAATGTTGACATCAACAAATTTCCAAAATTGATATCATTTTTAAAAAGGAATTCTGATGGATATTCTCCGAAAAAATCGAAAATATTTAATAGAGAAGAGGTGGAAAAATTCTTGCTTGAAGCTGACGATGATACCCATCTTATGCGAAAGGTAAAATTGCGTTTACTTAACGTATTAAACATTGCTAACCATTTCCTCTTTAGGTTGCGTTGATTTTTGGAATATCTGGCGCATGTCGCACTGACGAATTGGTCAATATGACACTGGATAACGTTGAAGATGTGGGGTCTTCTTTCATAATTACCCTGCCACATACAAAAAACAAAACATCCAGAACGTTCGTTATAGCGAGTAATGAAGGCGGTAAAGTGGATTTTCTTCAGATAATTCGCAAATACACGTCCCTTCGACCTGGAACTAACCATGGACGATTTTTTGTTTTCTACAAGAACGGAAAATGTACTCAGCCGGTTGGGAAAAACACGCTTGGCAAGGTGCCAAATATGATCGCCAATTACTTAAAATTACCAAACCCAGAACTCTATACGGGGCACTGCATGAGGCGTTCCTCCACCACTCTATTGGCGGATGCTGGAGCTGACATCACCACTATAAAACGGCATGGTGGGTGGAAGTCCACCACAGTCGCGGAAAGCTACATTGAGAACTCTGTGGCCAACAAAACGAAGATTGCAAATCAGATTATTCAAGGTAGCACTACCTCAAATGTCAATATAACATCGGGAGCCAGTTCTGATTCGAATCTATTGATTAATAAAATTCCAGCGGTAAATTTTACAAAATGTGAAAATATAACGTTTAATTTAAATATAAACAATGTACCTTTTTAAGTTTGAGTTAATATAACCTATATAAATATCAGGGAGTTTTCATTATCATTATTTCTCAAGGGACTGAAATGCAATTTCTGTCCCTGTTTTGTGATCATAGAAACGGATTTTTACCCTCGCGAGTGCAAAAAATTGTTTAAAGCGCATTTGTCCATTTAAAAGGAAATATAGCATTAATAGTTATTTGTATACTTAGGCCGCGAAGTCATTCTTTAACGTACCGAAAAGAAGATTGGCGCCGAGGCCGCTTGCGGCCGAGGCAAGGCAACTTTGAGGGCGTTAAAGAATGACGCGGCCGTGGTATACACAACATTTTTTGTGCAATTGTGTAGAATCGTCAATAAATAAAAATGAGATTTCAAAAATAATAATTTTCGTCGCAAATAGAAAGACGGCCAATTTTCATTTTACCATGGAAATGAGATAAACAATGAATAATTTTTCGTGAAAGAAAAGTCAAAATGTGTGACTCCGAAAGTGATTCTTCGATATCCGGAACTCCTCCGGAAATAAAACTTGTTGTGAATTCTGCTGTGTTGCAGTTATGAGTTAGTACCTGAAAAATCGAAGCGGCAGTACGAAAAATGCTACAAGGACTTCAAGTGTACCTGTCAGTTTGAGTTCTAATGAAAATCAAAATGTTACAGTTTCAAAGTATAACCGCTTCTAACACTTTACACTTTATTTCAGGAGTAAGTATAAGTAACAATACGAACTGTTCGCTTAATATTAACATTTATCCAAAAGATTTGTAATTACCTACATGCTGATTGTCAAAATATATGTGACATTGTCTTACTTTAACGGCCGTCGCTATGACAGCGGCCGCGAAAGTGAATTTCGCGGCCGCCATGGTGAACGCGAAGTTGTTGTTTCGCGTCCAATTGCACAAAAAATCGTTTATGTGTCTTTGAAATTGACTAATATACGCATTTAAAGCGTATTTAATAGTTTCTGAATAAATAAAATGATTTTTTAATTTATGTAATTTCAAGTTATTGTAAAAGTTGCAAGATTCGATGGGATGGGATAAATTCAATGAACGTAGAAAAATTTTTTATAAAATGGCGGCTTCCGAGATATTGGCCCGTATGAATAAAAGTAAGCAAATGCTTATACTTGCAAATTTCAAAGTAAATACTCGTAAGTGCTCCTTCCCACTGGGCGACTTAGCAGCACTGTTAAGCAGAAAGACAGGACGCAGTGCAGCGCTGCTAAACAAACCAGTATAAAGGGACACTTATGAGTATTTACTTTGAATTTTTCAAGTATAAGCATTTGCTTATTTTTATTCATACGGGCCATTGACATCAACTTCCTTATTTTTAATG